GTTAACATGAAATTTGACAGGGGAGGTGGGGAACACTACAAGACCCAAAACAAATACATGCTAAATAACATCCATCTCTTTAAAATAAGAAAGCGGATGAGGTCACTTTACTCTTCATTCGAGGTCCTAAACATTTTTAAAAGTCACACTCAATTGGAGAGTTCTGAGCAGGTTCTGTTTCTTCCAATTCTGCCTTAATTTGCCCTCAAACAAACAATATGGAAGAGGAATTTTCAGGTTTTTTTTTATTTTCTTCTCCATTTTGAATTCTGTCTGCACCTACCAATTTTTTGGAACACTGTCTTAAAGGGATACTATGTCTTAGAATTAACATAAAATTTAAGAATTTTAAACTTGGCCAATAAGAGCCAGTAGATATACCTGGTGTCATAAATAACATAACAGGATCCTTATATAATCCAATAAATCCAAAAAAATTAATAAATATACAATTAACTATTGAAATATTATGATTAAGCGTTTTTCAATAATTACTTATTTTTATGAATTTTCCAATTTTCTAGATTTTACAGGGATTCTGTTGTAACTTTATGACACCAGGTAAGTTCACTGATGAATATATACTCATATTGACCATTTCGAGAACTTAAATTTTATGTTCATTCTAAGACGTAGTATCACTTTAAGTCTGTTCCAACATGTTTTTTTGAATGTCCAGTTTGATTTCATGAAATTCCGAAAAACAAGTTATCAAATCCATTAGAAAATACTAAATTTTGTAAATTGTGAAAAAAATCTGGTCGAATCAAAATTAATAAAAATATGCATATAAGAACACTTGCTACCACTCTACCCTTGCATTGTCAACTCCACAGTTTTATATTAATTTTGTAAAAATATTTCAAAATTTTTTCTGTCATTAATTAAATTAAGAATGAAATGTTAGCTCTTCTTAATAAGACTAAATATAAATTAATTATTTTAAATATTTCATAAGTTAATTGACTGATATACCAAAACAACACAACATTTAAACAGAGGACCTGCTTAAAAATACAGAATTAGATTTCTATTTTGGAGTATTTTAGGAAAAGCGTATCCCTTTTGCTTGAAATGTGCTTGAAATTTCGATTCATAAAAGCGGTAAAACAAAATGGTAACAGTTAAATGTTGTGTTGTGTTGTTTTGTATAAGAAAAATCATGCAAACAATTTGTCAAAAAAATGACTGAGAACAAAATAATGAATGAATGAAATGAAATGAGATGCCCATTATTTCAGTTGCAAGTATTTGATTTTTTTTTCATTAGAATTTCTTTTAAAAAGTTCCAAATATGTGCCCAATATAATTTTGGCAAATTCATTATTGCTTTATATGTTAAAAAAGTATGGGCCAATTCCACCAAAATATAAATTGAACTTAGCAATCTTAACCAATACTGTTTGGTATTTTGGCGTAATAAGCTGCCCATACTGAACAGAACTTCATCATGGTTTAGAGCGATATCAAAATGCAAAAAAATCATAGGCCAATTCCACAAAAATATAAATTGAACTAAATAACCTAAACTAATACTGCCTGATATTTTGGCTTAATACGCTGCCTATAATGAAGGAGAATTGGGCATCTCTCTGACATGATTTAGAGATAGAATGGACGATCATATGCTTTCATTAGACCTAGTGACGACAAATCGGGCGTACTTCCGCGTAAACGTTCCTGTTGCAACCACAATTTCAAATTACGATTTTTTCTCATTGAATTGTCTCTGATAGCTGGTTGTAGTTGCTCCCAAGCTGATATTTCATCCTTTGAACCCTGGGCGGCCATGATTGTTTTGATGTTATCCCAATCACCAATCCCACCAACAGTATGTCGCCTGATGCCTCTCTTTGATTTCTTTGTATTAGTCGAAGTTTCCCCTTGATTATTAGAATTGTTTTTCACTTGATTTTCAGTGGAAAAAGTTACCTCCCTTTTCTGAGGTTGTTCGCTTTTAAATGTTTTTAAACTATTGGAATATTTGTTGTTATCTTTGTTAGAATGCGTTAATGACAATGGTGAAGTAAGTTTTTTGGAAACTGGTCGTCGATTTTCACTGGGATTGCATGTCCACTGAACTAAACTTATTGTACCAGTTGCGGAGGGATTAGGCGTCTGGCTTCCTGTTTGAAGTTGAGGATTGCGCTCAAATCTTGAAGCTATTCCAATCTTAGTTTCCGACTTGTGAGACCGATGCAGACTTGGGTCTTGAAATTTCTTGTCTTGCACATTTGAAGTGGACATGACTAAATTTTGCGGATATCGCGGCAGAATAACTGGTTGAGATTTCAGCTCCACATAAGAGGGAGGCGACTCTGGGGAAAGAGGCAAATCGAAGTCTTTTTCATCCAGTACATCACTTATTGTACTGGCACTAGCACTGCTTGAATCAGTTCGACTTTTCCGTGAACTGCCATTAAGCTTATATTTGGGATTTGAAAGAATTTGAAGTTTTTGATCGAATGTTGTTGTTAAATCTGTTAATAAATCAAGGCCGTCCTCGGAATCAGTTGACGCCCACGAATTTCTGTCTTGTTTATCCAGTAAGTCGATCAACGAATCTAAGGATCCGTGACGGTAAGCTGCACTATTACGATTTAATGTTCGGGGGTGTCTTTTTTGACTGCTGGATCTGTGTTGATTGTCTTTGGGTGTGTCTGTATCGTAGTTTCGGGATCGCCTGTAATTATGGGGATGATCAGAATATTTGCCATGCACATGATGTGGATTAGTATCTAACATATTTTCTAAGGAACCAGCTCGAGGCACACACGGAGCTAGCGAGTCTAAACTACCCAACATTCCAGATTTAGTAGGTTTATCGCGAGCGCGAGTGTTACCTATACTGATAAGATATTTACCACTGTCGACTGCTTCAGGTCTGTCAGATAACGGTGACGGATCTTTCACGTCACTGTCAGATCTTGTACCACAGATGACTGGATGAGCTCGAGCTAAAAGATAGCCCTGATTTCTTCCACCTCTAGGCTGATTGGAAGAGTATGGTGGCGATGTCTCTGGCCTAGAGGACATGGAATTAATTTTACTAGTAAAATCACTGAAACGTAGATTCAACAAATCTTCCACACTGTGACTATCCTCTCGTTCCATCTCTTCTTTCGTTCGCTGATACTCTTGTTCGTAACGCTGTTGCTCTTGACGACGCTTCTCCATATCCTTCCGCCTTTGCTCCTCACGCTCAATGATCAAACTTGTGTCCTTCTTGATTTTCCGTAAACGATCTAGCGTGTCTCGACTCAGATTCCAGCTCGTGTCTAAGCTGTGAGACATCTCAAGCTCGTCATTGCGATCCATTAGCGAATCCTCTGAGTAATGACGAGTGAATGCACGAGCGTTAGGATCAGCCTTTTGGAAAATCATCTGCCACTCCTGCTCATAAGGAGGAGGAGGGGGTGGGGGTTTCCTATCATAAACAGGCACTGGTCGTGGAGGTTTACGATCAAGAAATTCCTCCGAGAAGCTTGTTGTGATGCCATGTTTTGATTGAGAGTGGCTGTAAGGTGGTGGAGGTCCTTGACGATGAAGATCCAAGTCACCGTAGGCAGGAGGAGAACAGTCTAGCTCATCGCAACTTTTACTGGTCTCCTTAGATTTCATCTTCCTATTGGCTGCCGTGATTATTGACGAAACTATTTCTCGTGCATAAATTTGAGAATCCAGCTCTTCTGCAATTGAAATCATAAAAGTTAATATTGCTGCATGTCTTAAATATTGCTTTTCATGAAATGACATTCTATGCCAGAATATTTAGGACTTGAGCTAACGAAATGAGCTAATGAAATGAGCTAATGAAATGAGCTAACGAAATGAGCTAATGAAATTAACTTTTGTGCTGAGATTGTGCTTGCAATGGAAAGCAGTTTGTCATGAGGGAAATTTGACCAATTTGTGATTTTTTATTCTCAAATTGGATGAGTCATAAATTAATAACCAATACAACTTACCATCATCGTCTTTAAGAACTCTACTGGTATCAGCGGAGCTGCAGGGAGGTGAGGTGTCTTTCTGTTGCTCTAGGGGTACATGATCATCATGATCCCAGGAACTGAAGAACCACTCATACTGAAACACAAAGGGGAGCAAGATTTCAATATCATTCAGCCATCCTGGTATCAGTCTGACTGGGTTTGTCACCTCTACATCCTTAAATAGTCCACAGAGCTATCTCGCATTTGTGCTGGTCAAGATAGCTACAAATGTTTCTGTTTTTGAACCAGGAATTTTTCTTTGCAAATGGCCAATGTTCAGTGAGTGTAATTTTAGCCAAACTGTTTGATTTTGAAGGATCCTTAACATACCATGGGTCCTTTTTAAGTGTCCCATCGTTTCAACCATGACCATTTTTCCATGTCCGCCCATCATTGTTTCAATACCCATATAAAACAAGCAATCGAGGAATAAAGGGGAATAACTACTTACATGTATAATAATACTCTCTACAATACGACATTGATCTGACATATCAGTTACCATGGAGAGAGTGTCATCGTTTGATTTCCGTATCAACGTAGGTCCGAACATTATTGCTAGATTCTTAGCGTCCATCTAAAAAAAAATAAATAAAAATAAATTACCAATGAATAAATGTATAAATTAATAAAAAATAAAAAATACAAAAATAAATAAATACACATCATAATAAATAAATAAAAAAATAAAAAAATAAATAAATACTCATCATAATAAATAAATAAAAATAAATTACTAATGAATAAATGTATAAATTAATAAAAAATAAAAACAAAAAAATAAATAAATACACATCATAATAAATAAATAAAAAAATAAAAAAATAAATAAATACTCATCATAATAAATAAATAAAAATAAATTACTAATGAATAAATGTATAAATTAATAAAAAATAAAAAAATAAAAATAAATAAATTTATACAATATACATCATAATAAATAAATAAG